TGCTTTCGGGACTGCACGTCAAAAATAACCTCGTCCAGACAACTGTCCCGTAGCTGCTGAGCCTTGGGCGCTACACGTCTCTGGACTGCCAAATGGCCGTAGGTAGAGAGCAAATCGTCAGGACAAATAATGCCTCCCCACACTCAAATTGGATGGCAAACATTTTAACTAACCTCGTCATAACATTTCACACACTCAGCGCGCATATCTGTGCATAATTATGACACTTTCAAGGTTGCACATTTACCAAGCTTCTAGCTGGCGAGTAACCTGTCCAGACAACTGCCCCGTAGCTACTGAGCCTGACGAGTTACACGTCTCCGGACTGCCATAGGGCAAGCATATGCGATCTGCAAGCATATGCCATATGCGATCTGCAAGCATATGCCATATGCGACCTGCAAGCATATGCAATATGCGATCTGCAAGCATATGCGATCTGCAAACATATGCGATCAGCAAGCATATGCCATATGCGACCTGCAAGCATATGCAATATGCGATCTGCAAGCATATGCCATATGCGACCTGCAAGCATATGCAATATGCGATCTGCAAGCATATGCGATCTGCAAACATATGCGATCAGCAAGCATATGCCATATGCGACCTGCAAGCATATGCAATATGCGATCTGCAAGCATATGCCATATGCGATCTGCAAGCACATTCGATCTGCAAGCATATGCCATATGCGATCTGCAAGCATATGCGATCTGCAAGCATATGCGATCTGCAAGCATATGCGATCTGCAAGCATATGCGATCTGCAAGCATATGCGATCTGCAAGCATATGCCATATGCGATCTGCAAGCATATGCCATATGCGATCTGCAAGCATTTGCAATGTGCAAGCATATGCAGTCTGCAAGCACATGCAGTCTGCAAGCATATGCAGTCTGCAAGCATACACAGTCTGCAAGCATATGCAGTCTGCAAGCATATGCAGTCTGCAAGCATATGCAGTCTGCAAGCATATGCAGTCTGCAAGCATATGCAATATGCGGCGCTATGCTGCGCTATGCTATGCTGTGCTACGCTATGCTATGCTATGCTATGCTATGCTATGCTATGCTATGATATGATATGCTATGCTACACTATGCAATCTGCAAGCATATGCGGTCTGCAAGCATATGCCGTCTGCAAGCATATGCCGTCTGCAAGCATATGCCGTCTGCAAGCATATGCCATCTGCAAGCATATACAGTCTGCAACATATGCAGTCTGCAAGCATATGCAATCTGCAAGCATATGCAGTCTGCAAGCATATGCAGTCCGCAAGCATATGCAGTCTGCAAGCATATGCAATATGCAAGCATATGCAGTCTGCAAGCATATGCAGTCTGCAAGCATATGCGATCTGCAAGCATATGCGATCTGCCAGCATATGCGATCTGCAAGCATATGCGATCTGCAAGCATATGCCGTCAAGCAGGCACGCACGGACATGCGAACTCGGGACGCATGCTATGCTATGCTATGCTATGCTATGCTATGCTATCCTATGCTATGCTATGCTATGCTATGCTATGCTATGCTATGCTATGCTATGCTATGCTATGCTATGCTATGCTATGCTATGCTATGCTATGCTATGCTATGCTATGCTATGCTATGCTATGCTATGCTATGCTATGCTATGCTATGCTATGCTATGCTATGCTATGCTATGCTATGCTATGCTATGCTATGCTATGCTATGCTATGCTATGCTATGCTATGCTATGCCATGCTATGCTATGCTATGCAAGCATATGTGATCTGCAAGCTTATGCGATCTGCAAGCATATGCGGTCTGCAAGCATATATGGTGTCTGCGAGCATATGCCGTCCGCAAGCATATGCCGTCTACAAGCATATGCCGTCTGCAAGCATATGCCGAACGTGTCCGGACCCGATCGAGAGCTACGGCACCCTCGGGACCGCAGGGACCGCGCCTCGTTCGATCCCTACCGCGATTATGTTTTATGTTTCATATATTTCATATATGTGCATATATGCATATATGTATATGCGATATGCAATATGCAGCGATATGCAGCGATATGCGATATGCAGCCATATGCAATTTGCGATATGCGATATGCGGTATGTGATATGCGATATGCCATATGCAGCGATATGGGATATGCGATATGCGATATGCAATATGCAATATGCAATATGCAATATGCGATATGCGATATGCAATATGCAATATGCAATATGCAATATGCGATATGCGATATGCGATATGCGATATGCAATATGCGATATGCAATATGCAATATGCGATATGCAATATACGATATGCGATATGTTATACATATGCGCATGCATCTGCATTATGCAAGCATACACAGTCTGCAAGCATGTGCCATATGCGATCTGCAAGCATATGCGATCTGCAAGCATATGCCATATGCGATCTGCAAGCATATGCCAAATGCAAGCATCTGCCAAATGCAAGCATTTACGATCTGCTAGCATATGCGATCTGCAAGCATATGCGATATGCAAGCATATGCGATATGCGAACTGCAAGCATATGCGTTATGCTATGCTATGCTATGTTATGCTATGCTATGCTATGCTGCGCTATGCTATGATATGCTATGATATGCTATGCTATGCTGCGCTGTGTTATGCTATGCTGCGCTATGCTATGCTATGATGTGCTGCGCTATGTTATGCTATGCTATGCTATGCTGCGCTATGCTATGCTGCGCTATGCTATGCTGCGCTATGCTATGCTGCGCTATGCTATGCTATGCTATGCTATGCTATCCTATGCTATGCTATGCTATGCTATGCTATGCTATGCTATGCTATGCTATGCTATGCTATGCTATGCTATGCTATGCTATGCTATGCTATGTTATGCTATGCTATGCTATGCTATGCTATGCTATGCTATGCTATGCTATGCTATGCTATGCTATGCTATGCTATGCTATGCTATGCTATCCTATGCTATGCTATGCTATGCTATGCTATGCTATGCTATGCTATGCTATGCTATGCTATGCTATGCTATGCTATGCTATGCTATGCTATGCTATGCTATGCTATGCTATGCTATGCTATGCTATGCTATGCTATGCTATGCTATGCTGTGCTGTGATCTGCAAGCATATGCGATCTGCAAGCATATGCGACCTGCAAGCATATGCCATATGCGATCTGCAAGCATAGCATATGCGATCTGCAAGCATATGCGATCTGCAAGCATATGCGATCTGCAATAAGATGCGATCTGCAAGCATATTATGCGATGTGCAAGCATATGCGTTCTGCAAGCATATGCGATGTGCAAGCATATGCAGACCGGACCCGAACGAGAGCTACGGCACCCTCGGGACCGCAGGGACCGCGCCTCGTCGTCGTAGTCCCGACGTTAGACGGACGACGTTTAGTCGTTCCGTCGTCGGGACGGAGACCTTAGGCTGCGGGGGGCGTCCGCGTGTCCGTCCGTCCGTCCGTCCGGGTTGACGTTTGGTAAGTTGCCGTTTTTCGCCTTTTTGTCCGCGGTTTCGGAGCCGCGCCTTTTGGGCTAGCTCCGTCGCCGCGTGGGAGCCGCGGTCGCCGGTTCGCGCCCCGCCGTCGCAGCTTTTTTTCGTTTTTTCGCACCGCACCGCACCGCGCCGCACCACACCGCATCGCACCACACCACACCTGGGCCCGCGGAAGGCGTCCCGGAGCATGGCCGTGCGCCGCTTCGTCGGGCGCGCTAGCTCCGACGTCGAGTGGGAGCCGTAGTCGCCGGTTCGATCCCCGCGCCGGCGCGTCGTTTTATCCTTTTTTACGTTGCGGCTCGCTGGCTTCGTCGCCTATTCTTCTATTTTTCGTTCGGGAGCGCTGCCTTCGTCGTCGCGTGGTTCGTTTTTCGCGTCGTCATCGTTTATGCATTTCTTTTCGTTCTGGACCGGCACCGCACACCCGTGGTCCGCGCGTCGTCGTCGTAGTCCCGACGTTAGACGGACGACGTTTAGTCGTTCCGTCGTCGGGACGGAGACCTTAGGCTGCGGGGGGCGTCCGCGTGTCCGTCCGTCCGTCCGTCCGGGTTGACGTTTGGTAAGTTGCCGTTTTTCGCCTTTTTGTCCGCGGTTTCGGAGCCGCGCCTTTTGGGCTAGCTCCGTCGCCGCGTGGGAGCCGCGGTCGCCGGTTCGCGCCCCGCCGTCGCCGCTTTTTTTCGTTTTTTCGCACCGCACCGCACCGCGCCGCACCACACCGCATCGCACCACACCACACCTGGGCCCGCGGAAGGCGTCCCGGAGCATGGCCGTGCGCCGCTTCGTCGGGCGCGCTAGCTCCGACGTCGAGTGGGAGCCGTAGTCGCCGGTTCGATCCCCGCGCCGGCGCGTCGTTTTATCCTTGTTTACGTTGCGGCTCGCTGGCTTCGTCGCCTATTCTTCTATTTTTCGTTCGGGAGCGCTGCCTTCGTCGTCGCGTGGTTCGTTTTTCGCGTCGTCATCGTTTATTGTTCATTTCTTTTCGTTCTGGACCGTGCACCGCACACCGCG